AATAACAAATTAATTAATAAATAAATTATTAAAAGTGAAAAAAAGATTAAATTAAACAAATTATTAAAAATAAAAAATAAATAGTTAAATTAAATTAATAATTGATGGTGAATAATAAATAAATTAATTAAATAAATTATTATAAGTGAAAAATAGATAAATATGTTAATTTAGACGGTTCAAGTTTAAATGTACGCGTTATGACGACCGAGGATCAACTGACGTGACCTGTGACCGTCAAGTGCCTATATGAATCGAGGGTACCCCCCAGTCGAGGTCAAACGAACATTCACGAGCTCAACCGATTTTTCAAAGATCCACAAGTCTTTTATAGTAGTTATTACATAGTTTATAGTTGATATATGCTTCGTATAATTTGCAATAACAATATGAAGAGTAATTTACATATGTACAATTATTTTTTCATATAAAAAAATCATTTACTACCGCGTAACAATATTTTTTAACATATGTGTGTTTAAAACAACTTTTTAAAGTTAAAAAAAGTCAGCAGTAGCTAAAATTGATATTAACTAAAGGAATCATCTATAACCCATACCCATAACCCATCCTAAAATAAGCTAAAATTCACGTTTCTAACACATTTTACGAATTTACATAACATATATTGCATTATACATCTAAGAATGCTTTCACACGTTTTTCATCGTGCGTTTATAGCATTTTTTTGAAAGTATGTTTAATAAAGGTGGTCAAAATGCTCATGTACCAAATTTTATAACTAATATATAATATATATTACTATATATTATATCTTTATTATTAATTTTATTATATTTATTATTATTAATTAATTACTATTAATTTTAGTATTTACTACGTTTTGTAGTGGAAATTAAGCATTCTTTAACTTGTCATTTCAGTAACAGAAACATATTTGTATTTGCTTTATTGACATTAATAAACATAAGAAACATTGTTTGATATTCTACATCGATACCTTAGCACATGGCTATTTCAAAGATAAAGTATCTTCTCGCGACAACAATGTATTGCTTGTCTAGCTGCATTAAACTTCTAATCGCTATCACCTCGAAAGTACCCATGGAATGTTTACGCGCGTAAAAGTAAAACTTTCGATGCCTACACGAAACATTTCAGAAAATAGTGTTATAACCGATCGATATTTCAATTACTGCAATCGAGGAAATGTATATTCAAAGACTAATAATGTGCGGTATCATTTATTAATTCGTTACATCGCAATTACTTTCGCAAACGTGTCGGAATATTTACGAGCAAATCACAGTAAAACACTGAGAAATTGAGAGGACTTCAACAACATCAAGGAATCTAAGGGCGAACATTTGTGCCATTGCAATATACCACACGTGGAATATAGTGTGGTTAAATAGTGCACGTGAAAAGTGATATGTGAAGTGACACGAGTGTAAACATATAAAGATATTATGTAAGTATACAATTTCGATTATAGGTTCTAGATTCCGATAGTCTATTGCGATATTTGGTCGACATAGGTAGGGAAAAGTAGTCTTCTAATAGTTTCCACAATTTTTCTTCGATTTCGACAGTGTATATGTAAAATAAAGTGATGGGAGTGTAAGTGTATATCGTATCGTCCTACGTACTCATTTCTTATCGTAAGCTTTACGAAATTTCGACATTCGATTAGCATATTTCGTAATCACTCATTAAAATTGATTATGCTCTAAATAGCAAACAAATTTTTCTCTGATTTTCACCCTCCATTTTAGAAATACAGTGCCGAAAGTGAAAACGTGTAACAGGTCGTGCTGCATAGTTATTTCTTATCGCTTAGATTTTAGAAACTTCAACTTTTGATCAGGTTTTTTCGCTATCACTCAATAGAATAGAATGTTCCCTATTTAGTTAGACGATCTTTTTCCGATTTTCGCCGTTTTTCTTCGAAATACAGTGCCGAAAGTGGAAGTGTGTGACGGGTCGTTCTACGTCGTTACGTCGTGTCGCTTAGCTTTTCCAAAATTCGACTTTTGATTAGATTTTTTCATCTTCACTCGATAGAATAGACCGTTCGCTAGTATATTTGCCTATTTTTTTCGAATTTTCGCCTTTCATTTTCAATATATGGTGCTGAAAGTGGACTTGTGTGTGACAAGCTAGTTCGTAGTTTCCCGTCGGCTCTTATCTTTTCAAAGTAAGGATTGCTGATAACAATATTTCGTTCTACTTTGATAGAATTTATCGAAAATTTTAAAGATTTCTTACTAAAATTCGTTTAATCTAGCCTTGAAAAATAAATCTCTAACAAGTAATGATAATTACAAATCACACCACGCGGAAGAAGTTATGCAATAGAGACCCTGGCCTGAAGGACCCAAAGCTATTGCATAGGCTTCACCATTGAAGCTATTGCCAACGATAATACTCAGGACCTACTCTACTGCTCCGTGGGCCCGCGTGAAGAGAGATAGGCTACGGACTTAACAAATGTTTCTTATGCAAAAGACGTAGTGGCCCTACTGTTGATAATGTATATTTGTACATACACAGTTACGATCAATTTTGTATTTATCGTGATCAGAATTATAATTGTTTCCCTCCACAGGTAGACCGTGCACAAAGTATGCCACTCGTGATCTATGCTACATATCCAATATTCCAGACGGGACTATAGCTATATCAGTCATGGATAAGAGACGTTTCACGAAACCAGACCCTACTGGCAGCACCTCGTGTCAAAGATACGCTGCCTTTAAATGAAAAGCTGAAACTGTGAAAAATTACGAAAATGATTTTTCATCTAGTATTCCAAGTATGTTATTTTACTATGAATTCGCAACGCTAATCGTCATTATTCTCAATTAATTTTTAACATACATTTTAGAATATGAAAAGCATACGTGCAAG